CTTGCTAGGTTACCCCGACACTTCGTTTGGTCTCTGTGTCTGTGTCTGACTTGGAAACTCCTTTGACACTCCTTGAATGTACATGCATTTATTTAGATATGTACTCAATTATATACTTCATGTTTTAGGTTAAAACACCCGTCATATACTTCTTGGACATATATCTTATACTTCATATCCGCTTCTTGCTACTCGCTTGACATGGGTTGCCTTCATTTTAGCCAATACCCGGTTCAGAAGTATATTTTAAATGACCGTTTAGGTGTCTACTTAAAAGACAAGTGGTTTCCCAATGTATAATCTACATAACAAATGAAACAAAAAAATGTTATAGATATTTTATTTTGCATAACATGTAAATAAAAAAACAACATTGATCACATGTAAATTACTAATATATATGGGCTAAACTACCAAATTGGTATTTAAAAAAGACCCATATTACCACTTTGGTATTTAAAATATCTCCGATGGCGTTTGAGTATTTAAAGTGAGTTTAAGTTGGCGCATAGGTTCAAAATGTTATCGGCGTGAATTTTTCCGGCTTGAAAATTTCTTCCCACACCCTGACCTCTTAAAGTTTGTATTTCACACCCTTCTTCACATTCTTCTTCTCAAATTCAAATTTCTTTTAGCCCTCCCTCCTTCAATCTCTCTCTCTCGTCAAAAAGTCTCCTCCTCCTCCTACCTCTCATTAATGGAGCCAATTGTGAAATAACTAAGATGACATCTCTATAGCATTCGAAACCAAATGACATTAGTTAAAATCATCCTTCACCTTTGAGCGTTTTGAGAAAGCTAACCCATGGCAACAACAACAACTCTCCCCAACCCATTCCTCTTCGCCCCCCTCAAACCCTCATCAACTACATCAAAACCCCCATCCTCGAAACCCAATATCCTAATCGTAGCCTCCTCTCTCAGTAACCTCCGGGTCGCCGTCATCGGCGGCGGCNGCCTCCGCGGTCGAGGCCTTCTCCCACAACGGCACCACGACATACCTCTTGGAGCACAACCCCGCCGGCTCCAAGCCTTGTGGTGGTGCCATCGCGCTCTGCTTGCCTCCGTTGATGAGAGGTAGAAGGAGGAGGAGACTTTATTAATGAGAGAGAAAGAGAGGTTGAAGGAGGGAGGGCTAGAAGAATTTTGATTTGAGAAGAAGAAGGTGAAGAAGGGTGTAAAATACAAACTTTAAGAGGTCAGGGGGTGGGAAGAAATTTTAACACCGGAAAAATTAACGCCGATGACATTTTGGACCTATGCGCTGATTTAAACTCACTTTAAATACTGAAACATCATCGGAGATATTTTAAATACCAAAGCGGTAAAATAGGTCTTTCTTAAATACCAATTTGGTAGTTTAGCCCATACACACACACACACACGTATGTATATATATACACATACATATGTGTGTGTGCCCATGTATCCTACCTATTACATATTTGCCATGTCGCGTAGCCGCACCCGCACTTTGCCAGCACCGGTACCCGTGCCGTGTGACATAGGTAATATGTGCAGCTGTTACATGTGTAATATGTGCAGTTGTTCACATATTATATTATTTGTATGCATGTTACCAAAATATGCAGCTTTTACATATGTAATATGTCCAGCTGTTACATATGTAATATGTGCAGTTGTTCACATATTATATTATTTGTATGCATGTTGTTCACATCTGATAAGATACTTATTTTTAGGAATTGACGAGTTAAAATTTTTTATATTCTCCACATGTATTCAGATACTATGAAGGGCAAATGGCAGATTTTACTGAGGAAGACGCTGAAGCGATTGAGGAGCCCGAGGTCAAAGTTACTGAAGCTGCAGAGAAGGTATGAACTTAAAACTGAATTATTTGATGTGGTTCTAATAAACCATACCAGTACTATACGTTGTAATTAGTTGCTGGGTTACTGCAGTATGCATGCGCTCATGAGATATAATATTGAATCTCTCGTCTATGTTTCTATGTAGCATTGTGAGATTAACAAGTTCATTACTTCATCTTATTAAAAATTATTATGCGCTTTGTAATTTTTTAAGTTTATATTGGTTTTTGGCTAGCACTAATTGCAATATGTTGTCCAACATGACAAATTTGTTATGGCTTTTGATATGGCTAGCATATATTACCATCTATCTGATCTATTTATATGCTAGAAGTTTAAATGATATTATGTTATGCTCATGCATGCAGGTTTCGTTGTTGGAGGAGAAGATAATGCCCAAGGCAAACCTTCCTCCTCTTCTTGTTCATCTCCGTGAGCGACGTCCGGAAAAACTCCATTATATTGGTGTCTCCTTTGGACTAACCCGGGAGCTTTTTCGCTTTTGGAGGAAACATAATTTTGTCCCATTTTACATTGGTCAAGTCCCGGTTAGTGAAAATTGCTCAGCTGTTCAGTAGCTTCAGCTATGAAGTGCTTTTAGGAGCTTCATTTCTTATTCTTTTAATTCATTACTAGAATAATGTGACCGGTGAACATTCATGCATGGTATTGAGGCAATTGAACAGAGGCGAGATTGAAGGTGATGAATCTGGACAATATGGATTTCTCACACCATTTTATCAAGGTTAGTGATCTACACCTTAATGTTAGCTTGCTCGTACCTATTCGAGTTAGGTGTAGAAATAAGTTTTGCTTTTGAGCTGTCCAGATTTCAGGAAAAGATTTAGACGGCTTTTGGGCACTGCCTTCCAGTCAATCGACTATAAGCTCGCAATGAGGTTAGTCAGTAGGCCAATCCTTATCCAGCAGCCAAACCTTGTACCTTACTTGTTTTTATTTATCTATTTTTAATCCTAATTTTTTACTATTTGAGAGGACCTTCATGTTGATGTTAAGCTGACTTAATTCTACTATAGTGTTTTGTCATCAAAGATAGATTTTGCGGGGCATGAAAACATGGATGAGAGTTCAAAGTCATTGTTGAATGTAATATCACCACATGACATGAAGCGCTTGGAGGCATACACCAACAGTTGTGTCGACTTCCCAATGGTAAAAAGAAATTGAGATGCTAAAGAAATTAATGTTATTTTATACCTTGTTGCTTTATTTATTAATTTTATGGATGGAAAATGAGTGACGTCTACTTCCATCGATATAAATTTGAAATATTTAACTGGCAAGCCTCATCTTATCAATTTAATTGGAACTAATGATTGCGAGAGCTAATTGTGATTTTGTGTTTAATACCCATATTCTTCAATGTACTTCATTTTGTAGATTCTGGATCTTGTGCCAATTCTTTCACATGAGTATTTCCAGGAGAAGCTTCCTGTCACATTATCTCCCGTTCAAGCTTCCGTCTTGTTTTGCATGGGTATGCAGAACCGAGACATTGCTTATATGAAGGTTAGTTCACAATAATTCTGGTATTTAACTTTGATGATTGTCATGTGGTCATTTTAATGACATGCTACTTACTGTATTTCCTTTCTCTTTTGATTTCTCAGAAAGAGATGAAGTTAGAGGGGGAACAAATAATGTCATCATTTAGGAAAGTGATGAAAAAACTTTACAATTATCTTCACACCGTAACAACCAAGGAAATTGAATCCACTCTTCCACGGTTAAAGGAAGTAAGTAGTGAATAGCCCATTGTTGAATCCATACAGTAGAATGCTTGCGCAAAACCTTGAAAAATTGTTTAACCTTTTCCTCTCCATCGATACTCTCAGGTTACCTTGGCTCCTCACAGTGTATCAGTGGATGAAGATCTAGATGAAGCAGCCAAAGAAGTCATGGTCAGCATTAGACATTTATTTAAGACTATGTCTCTCTTTTATTAATGTTTATCGTCTGTCTCTGGATTTATGTTCAGGAAAAGATGAAAGCTGAGAATGACGGTACATTGGATCTTGAGTCCCTCCAGCAATATGCTATTGATGACAAAGAGGGCGACTTCAACAAGGCTCTCCAAAATGGCGTTAAAGTGTCGGCGAGTGGCCTCATCAGTGTAAAATCGAGTCGGTCTGAAGAGGATAAACGTGGAAGGTCCAAGGAAAGCAAGAGTAAAAGGAAAGGAAAAGGTGATGATAAATCACGATCAAACAAGAAGAAGAAACTTGCAAAATGAGGCTGGAGAATCCTGGTTATTACTGTATTTCAAGCAAAGCGTGTAATGTAGTATGGCGATGCCACACCAAATTTTGTTGCTTCTAATTTATTATTTGTATTCCAGAGTGGTATTTTTGTGCAACTTTTTCTTGGTTTTAGAACCGTTTTTAACAGTTGCCCCTTAATTGTATGTAGAATCACAGGCTTGTTAAATTACTTGTAGGATGGGCTGTTAAAACAAAGGTTTTATTGAAGAGCAAGTATATTTAATGCAAGCCGATGTCTCTAGTTGGTAATGCCCGACGCCTTTGTTAATTGTAAAAACAAAGGTTTTCTATGTGTATGTTGCAGTAGTATGTTCTTTGTTAACTGTTATGCTTCGATACCTCAGTAAAAAAAGACTATTGTTTATTCCCTTCCTATGTGAATTTTTCCGTGTAAGAGCCCTGTCCAAATGGGCTTCAGGCTCAGACCCGGCTAGGCCCTAACCTGGCCCGGGCCCGGACAACGCTCGGAAAAGCCAAGCTGGGGGCTCTCTCTCTCTATATATATATATATAACATTTGTTATATAATTATAGTATGATATGGTCATTAATGCATACTTATATATATTTTAAGTGTATATTGTCATTAATGTATGCTTATATATACTTACATATATTTCTAATGTATACTATATATAATTATAGTATAATACTATCATTAATGTATACTTATATATACTTACATATAATATTTAACTATATACTAATATGTAATTATATACTAATACATATTTATATAAATATAATAAGATTAATCTAAAATTTTAATTAATTTTTAGCAAAAAATGTAAAAAAAGAAAATTTGGGCCAGCCCGGTTTGGCCCGACCCGGATCTGGAAATCCGGTTGGGCCAGGCCGAGCCGGTTTGCTTGCACAGCTCTAGATATATCTAAGAGAACTTACAATTTATGAAATCATGAATTTTAGTCCTCATAAAATTATTTACCAATGGGTTGAAATAATTAAAAATAATAAAAAAAATTTACGTGTTACATCTCATGAAAGTATTTGCCAATGTTAAATAAACAAAAATGGCTGCAAGTCGCGGATCATAGCTTATGAAATCTTAAATTTTGGCATCTGCGAGATTATTTGTCAACGGGTCGAAACGACTAAAAATGACCACAAATCGTGGCTTACAGCTCACAAAATTATGAATTTCGGCCTCCAAAAAGTTATTGGCCAACAGGTCAAAACATCTAAAATTGGCCAAATATGGTGGGTGCTCACAAAATTCTGAATTTTGGTATCTGCAATATTATTTACCAATGAGTTGAAACAACTAAAAATACATAAAAAGCGTGCATTATAGCTTATGAAATTATGAATTTTGACATCCACAAAATTATTTGCAAACTGGGCAAAATGACTGAAAATGCCCATCAAATTGCAAGTTAGTGCTCAAAATCGTGATTTTTAGTCTCCACGGAATTATTTGTCCATAAGTCAAAATGACTAAATTTTTTTAAAAAATCGTGGGTTATAGCTAAAGAAATTGTGTATTTTAGCCTCCATAGAGTTATTTACCTGCAGGTCAAAACGGGAAAAAAAATGCAAAATTGTGGGTTATCGCTCATGAAATTATGAGCTTTGCCCTCTGCGAAATTATTTGGTGAACGAGTCAAAACAACTAAAAATGAACAAAATCATGGGTTGTAGCTCATGGAATGATGAATTTTAGCCTTCGTGAAATTATTTGCCAAGAGTCAAAACAACTAAAAATAGCCATTAATTATGAGTTATTACTCACAAAATCGTGATTTGGCCACCACGAATTTATTTGGCAGCAAATCAAAATAACTAAAAATAGCCAGTTATAGCTCATGAAATCATGAATTTTAGTCTCGAAAACATTATTTGTCAATGGGTAGAAATGACTAGTAATGCCCATAAAATTGAGGTTGTTGCTCACAAAGTCATGAGTTTTGACCTCCAAGGAATCGTGTAATCATAAATTATTTGCCAACGGGTTGAAATGATTAAATATTGCCAAAAATCATGGGTTATGACTCATAATCGTGAATTTGGCCTCCACAAAATTATTTGCCAACAAATTGAAATGACTAACAATGACGAAAAATCGTGGGTCATAGCTCATGAAAACGTAAACTTCAGCCCCTACAAGATTATTTGCTAATGACCCAAAACAATTAAATTTGACCCAAACCATTCACAAAATCGTGAATTTTGGCTTCTGTGAAATTATTTGCCAACTATTCGAAATAATTAAAAATGACCAAAAATAGTGAGTTATAGCTTACGCAATCTTAAATTTTGGCCTTTGTGAAATTATTTGCCAATTAGTCAAAGAGACAAAAATAACCAAAAATCTTGGGTTATATCGCATGATGTCTTGAATTTTAGTTATTATAAAATTATTTGCTAACGAGTCAAAGTAACTAAGAATGGCCAAATTTGTGTTAGTTCATGAAATCCTAAATTTTGGCCATAACAAAATTATTGGCTAAGAGGTAAAAAATAACTAAAAATGGCTAAAAAATAGGTTCCAGCATAGGAAACCCTTAATTGGCCTCAACGAAGTTATTTGGGAACGGGTGGAAACAACCAAAATGGGCAAAAATCATGGGTTATGGCTAAAAATTGTGGGTTGTAACTTATAAAATCGTGATTTTTTGGCCTCCATGACATTATTTGCTAATGGGTCAAAGCAACAAAAGATGGTAAAAAATTGTGGGCTATAGCTCATGAAATGGTGAACTTTAGACTCTATGAAATTGTTTGGCAACTGGTTAAAATGACTAAAAATAACCATAAACTATGGGTTATAGCTCATAAAATCATGATTTAGCCTCTATGGAATTATTTGGTACCACATCCAAATGACAAAAAATTATAAAAAATTGAGGGTTATAGCTCATAAAATTATGAATTTTAGTCTCTACAAAAATTATAGGTTATAGCTCACAAAGTCGTGAATTTTGGCGTCACGAAATTATTTGTCAATGGCTCAAAAGGACAAAAAATGCATATATAGTTCATGAAGTATTCATTGTGGCCTCCAGAAAAATTATATGCCAACTGGTGCAAATGACTAAAAATTATAAAAAATCATGAGCTATAGCTAACAAAGTCGTGAAGCTTGGGCATCACAAAATTATTTGCCTATTGGTCAAAATAACTACAAATGGTCAAAAAACGTGCATTATAGCTCACAAAATCCTAAATCTGTGCCTCCACAAAATTATTTGCTGATGGGCTGGAACGACTAAAAATAGCCATAAATCGTGGGTTATAGCTCACGATATCGTGAATTGACCTCACTGGACTTATTTGCTAGCAGGTCAAAAATACTTATAAAGGTAAAAATCGTGGGTTATAGATCAAGAAATCATGAATTTTTGCCTCTAAAAATTATTTGCCAATGACTCAAAATAACTAAAAATGACCATAAAATTATAGGTTATAGCTCACAAGGTCGTGATAGTTTGACTCCATGATATTATATGCCAAAAGGTCAAAATGACTAAAAATGACAAAACATTGTGGGTTATAACTCATGAAATTTTGAATTTTTTACTCTGCAAAATTATTTGTCAACTGATCCAAATGACTAAAAAAGGCAAAAAATCATAGGTTATATAGCTCACGAAATCGTGAATTTTGGCCTACACAAAATTAGTGACCAATGTCAAAACAACTAAAGATGGAAAAATTGTGTTATATGGCTCATGAAATCATGAATATTAGCCTCTGCAAAATTATTTTCCAATGAGTCGTAATGATTAAAAATACAAAATACCAAGGATTATGACTCATGAAAAAAATGAAATTTGGCCTCCTGCAAGGTTATTTGACAATGGGTCAAATCAACTAAAAATGGAAAACAATTATGGGCTATATAGCATAAGAAATCATGAATTTTGGCCGCTATGAATGTAACGCCCCGCACCAGAATCCGGAGTCGGTACGCTATTAGATCTGATGGACTAGCTTCACAAACCACCACATGTCTTTTTAGCACGTTTTGTCCTCACTCACGCGCTCCCTGGAAAACTTCCCAGGGGGTCACCCATCCTAGAATTTCTCCAGGCCAAGCACGCTTAACTTTGGAGTTTCTAAGAGTTAGGTTCCCGAAAAGAAGATGCATCTTGGTGGTATGAGTATTCCAATCAAATCTATCAATACTAATCACATCACCCTCTCAAGGGTTGGGGTATTACAATCTCCCCCACTTAAACTCGCAACGTCCTCGTTGTGCCAAATCATATCATCCAAGATCGTACCATCCGTGTGAGATTCTAGAGGTGGCTCCTACGGCCTCAAGAGGTGGCTCCCGCCCTCTCGACGTAGCACTTTGAGCCGCATAGCACTTAGCTCTCACAATTCCGGTTGGCTTGGCTCTGATACCATTTGTAACGCCCAGCCCCGGAATCCCGGAATCGGTACGCTATTAGATCTGATGGACTAGCTTCACAAACCACCACATGTCTTTTTAGCACGTTTTGTCCTCACTCACGCGCTCCCTGGAAAACTTCCCAGGGGGTCACCCATCCTAGAATTTCTCCAGGCCAAGCACGCTTAACTTTGGAGTTTCTAAGAGTTGGGTTCCCGAAAAGAAGATGCATCTTGGTGGTATGAGTATTTCAATCAAATCTATCAATACTAATCACATCACCCTCTCAAGGGTTGGGGTATTACAATGAAATTATTTACCAATGGGTAAAAAACAACTGATCGAATTGACTAAAAATGGTCAGAAATCATGGGTTATAGCTCACAAAATCATAAATTTTTGCCTCTAAAAAATTATTAGCCAAGGAGTCGAGACAAGTGAAAATGGGTAAAAACCGTAGGTTATAACTCATGAAATCGTTAATTTTGGCCTCCGAAAAATTATTTGCCAACAGGTTAAAATGAGTAAAAAATGCCCATCAAATCGTAGGTTAGCTCTCAAAATCGTGATTTTTAGCCTCCGCGGAATTATTTACTAACAAGTCAAAGTGATTAAAAATTCCCAAAAATTGTGGGATATAACTCATAAAATCGTCTATTTTGGCCTCTGCGAAAATTATTTGTCAACTGGTCTAAATGACTGAAAAATGCAAAAATTCTCAATTATTTGACAATGGGTCAAAATAACTAAAAATACCAAAAAAAAAAAGTGGGTTATAGCTCATGATTTCATTTATTTCGGCATCCATAGAAGTATTTGACAATGAGTCAAAACCAGCAAAAAAAGGGGGAAAAAATCATGGATAATACCTTTGAAATCTTTAATTTGCCCTGCGCG